GAGCCAGGGGTCTCCGCTCCATCATGGTAAATAACAGGAATCAAAACCTCACTCAACCATCATTCACAAGAATTCTGTAAGGCCACATTTACATTGCAGTCCTTTTTGCCAAATACGATTTGTTCACTATATCCGATTTTTTTTTTTCTGATGACCAGCTTACATTTTCTTTTAAAAGTGACCCTTATCCAATATCTGCATTTACACTGTACACTGGGAGACGGAAACAGGGTTGCCAGGTCTGCAAAACAAAACCAACCCAAATGCTAATCAAAAATACCCTAATCACTTTTTTTATTCGTCAGGTTTCCAATTTAAGTGGGAATCCTCCTCTGTCGAAATAGCAAGGGGGAGAGATCGCTTTAACCTACGGACTAAAAAACAACCCATTGCAACAGTGTAAAATAAGCCCAATTCTGCAGGGAAACTGCAGAGCTGGCAACACTGCTGGTACTGACCTGCAAAAGCGTCCACTTGAGTCAACGTCATTAGCTTTTTCAATGACGTACAACTCGCGTTGACAGGAATATCGGATCTGTCTCTAATGGCAGACACAAATGTACAGATCCGATTGATATCGGATTTATTTCCACTTATTACACGGTTATTACACGTTCCTGGGTCATATCCGAATTAGGTTACTTAAACCATGTAATGTAAATGCGGCCTAAGTCAACAATGTCCGATGCTGCTCCTTGAGGGCCAACGTCAAATGGAGTTTAGCTCCAGCTTTCCCCAACACACCTGTCTGGAAGTTTCTATTCATCCTGAAGACCTTGAGTAGCTGCTTCAGGTGTGTTCAAATGGGGTTGGAGGTAAACACTCCAGGACAGCGTCCCTCCAGAAGCAGGACTGGATACCCCTGCTGCTGTAAATCCTTCTACATCTCTGGTCTTTCAGGAGAAGCTCTTGCTGGAGCCCATGTTTGAGGTGCCTCAATCTGACATCATTGCTGTGGAACTGACTGAGGAGGTGGTCCAGGCCAAGTGTGGGCCACGCTACATTAGGTACAGCTACAGTTTTTCAAGCGGCTAATGTACTGTAGATGTTAGCAATCTTCCAATCTGTTTTGGAGATGGTTCTTTAATGAATCAGTCCAATCCTTTCAGATCTCTTTTGAAATCTTCAGCCACTTCAATAGATCCTCAACATGCATTCACAAAACTGAAGCATGGACATGCTTCTGAGCAACCTATAAGGAGTGATTCTGTCCTTAAAGGTTTTGTTTTAGGGACCAGTGGCTCCCTAGTCGGTTTGTGAGCCTGGAGCCTCAAATAAACTTTGATTTTGTGTGTGTTTGTGATCCAGAGCTCCTCCCAAAGAAACCGAGGAAGAGTTTGACTCGGCCTCTGAGGAAGACAACTGGCCCAGACACGCCGGCGCCGCCAACAACTGAACGTGAATCTGCTGAGTGCACATCACGTCATTATTCCTGAAGACAGCAAAATGCCATCACTATGGAGTCCTTCCAGCTGGACCTAAACCGAGAGCGGTGTTTGTAGATTTTTAAATGA